AGGTTTTGTGTTAGTTTTATAAGTATTTCTCCAGATCTCCACAAAGTAATTCACATATGGAAGTATTAAGCAACAGTATAACATGTAAAGTTATTATTTTATTTTGAAAATATTTAATTTTATTTAAGATTGCAAGAACCTTTGACATTTTAGCTTTTACAATGTCAATATGAGCCTTCCAGGGCTATTTGTAATCAAGTATTACTCCCAATAAAAAAGGCATTTCATGCATTCTTTCTATTTCAACATTGTTTATCATGGGTTTAACATCATAATTTAAATTCATAAATGTATAAAGATGTATTTTGATGCTATGTAGGTTAGCTGTAACAGATCCTGAGGTTTCGATGTGATAAAGAGAGGTTAAAGGGGAAATAATCAATAAAAAGAACGTAACAAGTCAGAAAAGGCCAATTTTGGCCCTGATAACACAAAGCCATTCAAAGTGAWACCACTGCAAAATGTTTTTGCAATCAACATCAGAAAATCTATGTCTTCAGAAGATCATTCATGTGTAAACATTGTTTGGTGGTCCTCTAAAAGCATTGGTGCCAAACTAGATACACATTTGTTGCACATTGTTGTCATGTGAAAATACAAAGGTTGATGCATCTCTTAACATTAAATAGATGTAGTCACAAAGACAGAACCACCCACTGATCTACTGAACACATAAACATCATGACAATGACTCTGCTGTCACCCATCTGGTTTTGTTGCTGGCCTGCTGCAGGCAGACACACTGAAGCGGCACCGAGCTGCTTTGCAGTGTCTGTGTGAATTACAAAAGGAGGAAGCTCATTGATCATTGATAGGTGCACACAATGTGTAAAAAAAAGGCTGATTTAGATGTCATTAGGTGTCTATCACTAATCATTCTCCACTGAAGCTTGCATTGTGTTTGAATCCACTTTTCCACATCAGGACTTTGCATGTAGTGAATCTGTTTCTGCCACTTCCTGCAATTTTCTACTCGGGTTCAACTTCGGGTTGTTATTTTTTTTTTATTTGTCCTTTGTAACAAAACCTGCCGGCTGGAAGTGTTGACCAGATTGAAAAGACTTGCTGAGGTTAAGTCCTCCTGCAGAGTGTGTCAGTGATGACACACATCGCCTTATCCATACACGTCTTATTCTTCATGAGTACACAAGCTTCGAAGACGTACGCAACCTATGCGTTGTCTTTAGAAAAGATGTGCATAGGTAGAAATGACTTTAAACCTTCAATCTGTCCTGAACGTACAGACTTGTCCTCTGACTTGGTTCACTGTGGTGCATGCAGCTTTCTGTAGATGTTAGTCAACTGGAACAAGTTGCTTAGGAGCTGTAGGTACAAGGGAGCCGTTTTGAGTGCCTGAAAGCAAGTTTAATAGTTATTTTACAGAGCATTTATCTATTGCTTATAATATTGTTATGGTGTTTTATTGA